TGCACTTCGAGGTTCACAAAGTACTGCGCCTGCCACGAAGTCCGCTCTTCGAGGTTCACCAAGTGCCGTGCCACAAACTCCGCGCTTCGAGGTTCACAAAGTGCTGCGCCTGTCACGAAATCTGCACATCGAGGCTCACAAAGTGCTGTGCCTGCCACGAAATCTGCACTTCAAGGTTCACAAAGTGCTGTGCCTGCTACGAGGTCTGCACGTCGAGGTTCACAAAGTGCTGCACCTGCCACGAAATCTGCACGTCGAGGTTCACAAAGTGCTGCGCCTGTCACGAAATCTGCACTTCGAGGTTGACAAAGTGCTGTGCCTGCCACGAAATCTGCAAACGAGCCACATGCCGAAAAGCTGCGATTCAGTGCACCTGTCACAAGTTCAGAGCTCGTCGAAGATCACCACCATGTCCAAAGTGCTGCGCCTGCCGCGAAATCTGCATGTCAAAGTAAAACCGCTCCGATCCCTTGCGCCTGTCATGAAAAGTCGACTTTCGACCACGAAAACACGAGGCCTTGCACCTGCCGCGAAAAGTGACCATCATGTGCGAAAATGTGCACGGCACCACAACGAGAGCGCAGTCGCTAGAAGCACCCGCCCATGCAGATTTCGCGAGCCTGCGCAGTCGAAATGCACTTCGAGGATTTCGAGAGGCATGAATGTACTGTAAATAGCAGTGAATTAGCCGTTGACGTCGGCGCGCTTCAGCGACCTAAGCATCAGCTGCTTTACTCCTACCGTAAGAACCCCTAAGTGTGCCCACGCTGTTTGGCGAATGAAACATCTTCTTATGCCAGGACCCTCCAAGAAGCTGTTTGGAGACCCTAACAGGTGGTGTCTGGGCACCTGTTGTTGTCACCAGGAAGCACCTGTTTGTTTGTTTCCGTCCATCTCGATGGGTTTTGCAAACAGAGACGGCGTGGCAAATCACCGGAGTTCTTCAGCTCGTCCTGGATTGATCCTGACGAGTTTTCAGCACCCTAAGCCCTAAACTTTTAATTTCATGCTACAGCTAAAGCATCTCACAAGCACTCTCTAGACAGGATGGGAAAAGGATCTGTTAGCTCTGTTGCTCCAATCACTTCCCACATCCCTCCCCCATTCCTTTTCGGTTAACTCTCTTCCTCCGTGAATTCCTTGGGGAATCCTCCGTGAATCGATGCGGTGCCTTTTTCGGTACCGAGGATCGATCCATTAGGAAGGCTTGAAGCCGATCTCCCAGCATCTTCAATCCATTCTCAGCCTGATTGGAACGGACCGGCATTCCCTTTTTTACCAGACCTGGGGGGTTCAAGGTCGTCGTAGGTCGTCGTTTTCGGTCTGTTTGGGGGGGTCCAGTCGGAGCGCGGGGGGGGATGGAATCGAAGGAACAAGGGGGGGGAGCTCCAATTGAGGGAAATAGAGTCGAGTCAATGGGACCTACGAGACGGTCTTCATCGACTTCACTTCTTGGCCTAATGACCCAGCGTAGCCGTCGTCTGGGATTCTCTATTCAGCTGCTTCCGACTCCTCAACGTCTCATGTCTCGACTTCCTCGAAAAAGGCCACGACATCCATGGTGGAGTTGCAGCCAAGCAAGTCCAGTCTGAACTAGACGACAGGGTGGCCCGAAAGCAAGTAGGCGGAAGAGAACAAATAGAAGGGAAGAAAAGCGAAGTAACAGAAGATGAATGAGCACTAAAGAAATGAAGAGATGATATATGATGATTCAAAACATTAAGATGAAACAAAATGAGATGATGATGAGATGACACAATATATAATATATATATATATATCTATATATATATACATTATGATTATGATACTATTATCACGTTATTACCAAATCTATTAACGTATATTCTGTTGCACTGTACTTCGGAGCCCAAACGGTAGTCCCGGTCGATTCTTTTTTATCCAGCGCCGGTCGAGCTCAAACGCTAGTCCCGGTAGTAAGAGCCGCCGAAGTGTGCGAAATCGCACGTCCCAACCTGGCATCAGGACAACCAATGCTCATACAAATGCAACACTTGAAAAACAAAACAAATTACCCACAGTTCAACTCATGTTGTTTTGTCGGTTATCAGATATAGTTGCACACCCAGTCGGAACAGGATCGACTTCGAACAACTCTCGGTCGTGGATCTCGTGCCTTGTGGAGTCTCTGCACGTTCAGCTGGAACAAGGGTCGACTTCGGACAACTTCCGGTCGTGGACCCAGGTCCTTCTAATCAGTTTGGTCACGACACTTTGCAATAGCCAATTCACAGCTTTTCGCCGATACTTGTAACTTCGTGGCTGGTGACTATATGTGGCATCGACATGCCGGCCTCCTGGAATTCCATTGCGTGGTGTCCACTTTCATTTGGTCCCACTTGTTGCCGCTCAACCTGTTCAAAAGACTCAATGTCTCTGGAAACGAAACTGGTCTTTCAGGTCAAATCACAACAAGCAAAGAATATCATTCAAGTCCAACAATCGAACAAAAAAAAGATGTCTATAGAGCTCTGTTTGCACAATTTTATCGGTTATCAGGTATATTCGCGCACCCAGTCGGAACAGGATCGACTTCGAACAACTCTCGGTCGTGGATCCCGTTCCTCATGGGGTCTCTGCACATTCAGTCGGAACAAGGGCCGACTTCGAACAACTTCCGGTCGTGGACCCAGGTCCTTCTAGCCAGTTTGGCCACGAATTCACAGCTTTTTGTCGACACTTTGGTCACGACGTTTCAAATTCCCAACGCCAGGCATGCTTGTGATGCTCCAAGGATCGCAGCGCATACAAGACATATGCTCGTCGCTTCCACGGTCTCAGGCTTGGACGCTGCTGGAGCACACAGTCAATGGCATCCTCGACACTGAGATCCCACCAGATCACCAGCCAGGCGCAAAGCGCGGCGGTACTGCGATTGATGCCTCCAAAGCAATGAAACAAAGGCGTAAACCTGATGTCGTGGTTCCAGTAGTAGGAGGCCACATCCCAAAGAACATGCATCAAATCTTTCCAGAAAGCTAAACATTCACCGGCAGACTGACGATGCTTCGCCAGCTCTGTATTTGGGTCTTTGACTGTGGGATCCTCGATGAACCACCAGATATGTATAAAGATACGTTTGGTTCATGAACCCTACCGACCACACGGATCGGATTCTGCCGACCGTCGATCGAGAATAAGCGAGTCCACTTGCCTTCGAGCCATACGACACAAAGGTCAATGATGCTGATCATGTTAAAAGCTGTCACCGTCATGATGATGCCAACAAAGGAAAAAATTCAAGCAGCTGTAACAACAAATCTGATGCTGATCATGCTAAAGCCGTCACCGTCATGCCGATGCAAACGACGGAAAAAATCCAATCAGCTACAATAACACATCGAGTCAGCTGGGTCTATTTCAAGCCAAGTATACAAATACAACACAACCTGAAACACATGTAACTCTCATGCCGTGAAAGAAAATATGACATGACATCAAATATGAAAATATGATGTGCCATGAGATGATGATCTCACGATACGCCCGTGATATGCTATTGTGATCAAGAGCTAACGATGAGGTCGATGACGATTGCAATGACGTAGCTGCTGGTGATGATGATGATGATGATGGTGCTGACGACGATGATGATGATGATGATGATGATGTGGATGATAAGGATGATGATGATGATGATGATGATGATGCTGATGATGATGATGATGAAGGTGATGATGATGATGATGATAATGATGATGATGGTGCATGTCGCCAGGCACGGTTTACACCACACGTTGTTTACGCCAGACGAAGTAACCATGGAAAAGTTTACACCAGACAAAGCCGACAAAGGTTTACACCAGAGAAGAGTTTACACCAGACATCGATTACACCAGACACCGTCTATACACCAGACACGGTTTACACCAGACGTCGTTTACACCAGACAAGGCCAACAAAGGTTTACACCAGAAAGAGTTTACAGCAGAGACAGTTTACACC